CCAACACCATACATAAACACACGCCACACACACACATGCATACACATACCACACCACCACAAACACATACACACCATGTACACGAATAAAACATTTCTTGTGTTTTGGGGTCATGAGGAGACAGGGAGGAGATAATAAATTAAACAAGATCCCAGGGAATCCATATATAAATGTCTTTTTATTACTGCACAGCTAGTATGTGCCAGGAACTGGGCTAGAGGTTGCTTGTGCAATCATTGATCTTCCAAGCATGCCTATAGAGTAGGGAAGGATTGTCCTCTTTCTGGAAATGCAGTATCTGAGGTTGGGGATGGTAAAAGTCAAGATGTTTCCCTTTTGATCACAAGTCACTGACAACTCCAATTCTTTTCATTGTGGCATTTTGCAATGGGGAAACGAGTGATGCCATCCTCTGATTCTCGAGGAATAAGAAGCAAAAATAAATAACTGAAAGCTTGTCAGTAGATGAAAATATGTTGTCGTGTTTCTATCGTGACATCTCTGTCCCATCAAACTGGGAGTCAAAACCAGGAGAAATGGTTCAGTGGGTCCAGGTTCTTTACACCAAGTCTGACAACCAAAATTCAAATCCCCCACACCCACATGACAGAAGGAGAGAACAAATTCCTACAAGATTTTCTGGATCTCTACAAACACCAACCTGTGTGGGACAAACATTTTATTCGTGTGTGTGACTAGAGGTCAGAGATTGACATCTGACTGTCTTCCATAGTCCCAATCCACATTGTTTTTGAGATCTGGCGCTCTACATTTTGGCTAGACTGGCTGGCCCTTAAACTTTTTGCACTTGAGAAATGATTCCCTGGTGAAGAGCATTCTATCCTCTTCCAGAGGACCCGGGTTCAGTTCCCAGCACCCACATGATGGCCAACAACCATTTGTAACTCTAGTCCCTGAGCATCTGATGCCCTCTTCTGGCCTCCACAGATACTATGTGCATCTGGTGCACAGACATACATGCAGGCAAAACACTCATACACGGAAAGTAAAAACAAACATTATTAAAGATGAAGATCTCACCCAAGAGCTTACCAGCAGTTCTAAAACAACTGGAGCCATAGAAGCTTCTGGTTTTCTTTTCTTTCTTTTTTTGTTTTGTTTTTGTTTTTGTTTTTGTTTTTTTGAGACAGAGCTTCTCTGTAGCTTAGGAGCCTTTCTTAGAACTTGCTTTGTAGACCAGGCTGGCCTTGAACTCACAGAGATCCACCTGCCTCTGCCTCCCAAGTGCTGGGATTAAAGGCGTGCACCACCACCTCCTGGCTGCTTCTGCTTTTCTTTACATTCTCTGTGTGTGTGTGTGTGTGTGTGTGTGTGTGTGTGTGTGTGT